AGAAATAGCTTTACAGAAAAAATAAGGTTTACTTGGTTTGACAGAAATCAACGAAGCCATAGTTTACGATAAATTCACTTTGATTATTGAAGTTAGGAGTGCAAATTCATTCAGATCAGTCAAAATTCTTATCAACCAGGAATATACCTTACTAATGAACAATTCTTTTCACCGGAAGCAAAGTAGATTTACTCAATAAAAAAGATGCTTAATAAATGAGAGAAATTGGATATCAAATTCTGATTAGCATTCGACGAAAATAGCAAATGGCTTTTCATGTTTGAGAAACGATCAAGGGAGAGAATCTTAAATTCAGCTTGAAGAATTTGTTGTTCTGAAATAAGCAGAAGCGTATAAAAGTGGCAGAAATATAACCACCAACAATACTTTGACAAGCGAGTAATTAACGACTAAATATTTAGAAAAAAAAAGAGAAGCTTGTTGGAATTATTCGTGGAAATAGAAAGGAGCTAACAAAATTGACGAGAGAGACAAAGGACAATATGACACATTTCATTAAATTATACCGGTCAGATAACTATATTCTGACAATTTACAAAATGAAACCCAATAAGAAAGTACTGGAATTTATCTGAATGCATACATCCGCTGAAATTGAAATGCATTTATAGCAGAGAGAATTAGATGGAAAATATATTGTCAAATTCAAATCTTAGAGATGGCCTCTATAGGTAATTTTAAATATCCTAGCCAACACAAATGCATGAAATTTATATAACCAAACTAAAGGAAGAGGAATATCGAGGAAAGAATTTTTATTTCACTTGGCAGAAGAAATTGCAACGAATATCAAAAAGAACCAGGCAAAGAAGATTCAGCAAAAAAGCAGACACAAATATAAATACAGATTTATGTGAACGGAAAACTTGCCAGATAAAGTATTGCAAAAACAAGAAGACTACCAAAATCTGTCTAAAATATAAAAAATAAATAGAAAATATGCAATCGAAAAGTGTTAAAAAAGACTTTAACATTTCTATAAATATCAACAACGGTAAAAAATGGTAGACCCCATATAATTTAAGCCGTGACTTCAGCGACGAGAAAAACGATCAGCCGTTCTTTTAGCAGTGTACTTTTTCTTTCTCTTTTTTAAATTGTTTTCCTCAATCAAAGCCCGCCATTTTCCTAAGTACACG